GTAAGAATCTTCCTGAGGTTAGGTGGTTGTCTATAGGAGATTATGGGTTTGTCCCCCAGAGTCTTTTGGAGTGTAGTATCCTGTTCCAGTATAGGTTGTAGGCTATTGATAATGCATTGGAGGGGTTTAAGTTGGGGGCTACAGGTGATGACAAGTGATGTTCTATTGTTGGTTTTCTTGGGCCTATCTTGAAGTAGATGGTTTCTGGGTATTCGTCAGGCTTTTTCAATTTGTTTTTTTATTTTCCCCAATAGGTAATTGAGATTTACAAATGCTTGGTAGAGATCTTGATGTTTCTGGTCTCTGTCAGTGGGATTAGAGCAGATGCGGTTGTACCTAAGGGCTTGACTATAGACGATGGATCGTATGGTGTTTCCTGGATGGAAGCTAGAGGCATGTAGGTAAGTGTAGCAGTCAGTGGGTTTTCTGTAGACAGTGGTATTTAATTTTCCATTAGTGATTTGTACTATGGTGTCCAGGAAATAGATCTCTCATGTTGAATGGTCCAGGCTGAGATTGATGGTGGGGTGTAGGTTATTAAAGTCCCTGTGGAATGCATCCAGTGTTTCTTGGCCATCGGTCCAGATCATAAAGATGTCATTGATGTAGTGTAAGTAAAGAAGGGGTAAAAGGGGACGGGATCTGAGGAAACGTTGTTCTAAGTCAGCCATAAAGAGACTTTAACAAGTCAAGCCCTTAGGTACAACCGCATCTGCTCTAATCTCACTGACAGAGACCAGAAACTTCAAGATCTCTATCAAGCATTTGTAAATCTCAATTAACCACCGGGGAAAATAAAAAAACAAATTGAAAGAGCCAGACGAATACCCAGAAACCATCTACTTCATGATAGGCTCAAGAAAACCATCAATAGAACATCACTTTCATCACCTCAAATAGCTATTCCCTCCCTTCCTCCCCCTCACCCCACCTTCTGTACTAAATCTGATTTTTCAGTTTAATAATGTGTTCACTTTTTTCATTGTATTCCTTTGGTATATATGGTCATGCCAATTCTCTTCCAGAATATGATCTGAGGAAGTGGGTCTGGCCCACGAAAGCTCATCACCTATTAAACCATCTTGTTAATCTTGAAAGTGCTACATAGTTTTTCCTTTCCTTTTGAATTGTTACTGAACCAAAGCTCTGCTGTGATGTCCAGGGAGTACTGTGCTGCTGGAGGTGCTGTCTTTCAGATGAAACATGAACTGAGGGCTGAGCCACTTGTGGATATTACAGATCCCATGATCCTTTTTCAAAATGAGGGTTGCTAAACTTGGTCCTGTTCTGATATGAGATATTCCATCCTGCCACCCTAAATTCTCTTTGCTGCCTCTGCTGTGAATTCTTCCTCACTTCCTATTCATAATCTTTGTTTAAGGTTGCTATAGTCCAGCCTTTGGTGTTGAATCCTGGAATCAGCAGCTTTTCAAAATTAGGGGAAATTAGTAGTACACGGCCAACCTTGTTCTTATTTAAATTTGCAGTAAAACTCCCTATGTCTACACTGGCCCCTCTTGTGCAAAAAACTATGCAAATGAGGCGAAGCATGGAATATCGCCACACCTCATTTGCATAATTAATTAGGCTCCGTTTTTGTGCAAGAGGCTTTTGCGCAAAAAAGAGCCATTTACGCGGCTCCTTTGTTGCAAAAAACCCCTCTTACGCAAGAGCTGTTCTTCCTGAAAAAAAATGTGGAAGAATGGGTCTTGCGCAAAAAAGGAGCCTAATTAATTATACAAATGAGGCGTGGCAATATTCCACACTTCGCCTCATTTGCATTTTTTTGAGCAAGAGTGGGCAATGTAGACATACCACAAATTGTATTCAATAATACTATCTTGGTCTTGTAACTTGCACAGTGCTTTGGGATCCTTTGGTATTTAAAGGTGCTACAAGCAGCTACATTGACATATCAACGTGTTTGCTGCATTTGCAAATGATATATTCAGCTCTCAGATGTGAATTTGGGGACACTTTCTGTTCCAGAGTCTCAGGGATTCTGTGCATAGCTTCCTGAGCCCTGAAACATATGTGTCATGGCAGCATTGTATTTAATGTCAATGTAGTTGAGCAGTAATGAGTGAATGTAATACATTCACAAGAACTTTAGAGGGGGCCCAAGGGGTGAAGTCAGCTAGAGAAGAGAAAAGAAGATAATCCTATTTGTGAGTTTGCTTGAATAAAAGAATCTGATTATATCCACCTGGCAGTTTGCTCATAGTGGTGAAAACAACCCTGAGATTTGCATGGAAGCATAGTAGACTCACATTGGGGACTCAGTGTCAACTGGAGCCCCTGCTCAGGAGAAAACTCTGTATAAACTGATATCATAGAAGATAAGTCTGACTGTGGTTTAGTGTTAGTCAGTTTGGCTATGTCTACACTGCAGAGCTATTTTGGGATACCAGAAGTATCCCAAAATAGTTATTCTGTGTCTTTTGAGCAAGTCCGTTATTTCAAAATATAATGGGCTTGCTATTCTGATGTCCCTGTAAACCTTGTTCTATGAGGATTAAGGGATGTTTCGAAATAGGGCTCTATTTTGAAGTTAACTTGAAATAAGCTTCGCAATTTGCGTCGCTCAAATTGCATAGCTGATTTTGAGGTAAGGGTGCAGTGTAGATGTGCCCCATTAAAAGCCCACTGAACACCCAATCTACAAACTAGTCTTTAAAGAAAAGGGCCATGTTGCTCATCAAGCCTCCTAAACTCTCCAGCCCTCATCCCAGTCTTTGGGAAGGATAAGTTATTGTAATTATAGCCCAGTTCTGGAGTTGAATTCCACAGTTTTCTCTTATCTCTGTCATGAGCCCAAACAGTTCTGGACAAGGGGATAGGGTGGGGGTAGTTTCTTAAAATCCAAACCACATTTTAACCATTTCCCCCCTCTATTCTCAGGGTAATCCCAGGTCCAAGCACACAAAACTTAGTGGGATTTTAGAATCTACAGATCCTGTTGTCTTTATAACAGGTCAGACTAAAACCTGAGACCCTTGCACTTTACATCAGATGAGCTCTGCATGCAAATATTGTGTCCCAAGCATCTCTCAAATAGCCAGCCTCTTTGGTTTGGTTTTATTGTTTCATTTTGACTGGCAGGCATTCTATTCTTTGTGGACTTAGTTTGGTGGGTCTGCAGTTCTTTTCCTCATACTAGAGGGGGCAGCATACTCCCTCAGCTAAAAAGAAGGGAGCTGTCTGGTCACACACCCCTTTCTTTCTAGGAAAAGGAATGCGCTATCAGATGGCATTTTAGAACAGACAATCATTTTAAGCCCCTTTTTTATGTGCCTGTTTATAGTGATAGCGATTGATTTACACCTCTGAGTTGCCGGGGACAATTTATCACACACCTATAAATAAAGTAAAGGTGAATTCTTTCTATGCCACCTCACGGTTCCCCATCCCTGCCTTTGTCACAGCCACTAGGCGTGGCAGTCTCCGCTACAGACAGCTCCATAAGGGTGTCTGAGAGGAACAAAGGCACCAGCTCTATATTTCACCATGGACAGCAAGACATTTAACTTAATTGAGGGGTGTGGTGGAGGAAAAAGAAGTGAGGGGAGATACTCTATTTTTTCCATTACCTATGCATGAATATTAAAAATGTAGACGGTAAGAAAAGCAATCAGGAAATGGAAATAGAGGACAGTCTTTGGCTAGGTCTACACTACAAAGTTTTTGCGCAAAAACACCTCAAGCGTGTTTTTTGTGCAGATAAAATGAAAGAACAGAGGGTTTTTTCTGGTGTAGGTATTCCTCCTTCTATGAGGAATAACTCCTTTTTGCATAAGAGTTCTTGCACAAAAAGGTGTGTGTGGATGGGGAACAGGGTTTGTTTTTGTTTTTTTAAAAAAGAGGAAATCGAAAAAAGCATAGGTGCCCTGGTGGCCATTCTGTAAATAGCAATCAGAGTTTCCTTTCGGGAGATCATCCATGCAGTCTGGATGCTGTCTTGTGCAAAAGCGCATCGCTTTTTTTATGTGCTTTTTCAGTGTGGGCGTGCTCTTGCACAAGAAGTTTTTGTGGACGATCTCTTCCACAAAAAGCTTCTTGCGCAAAAAGCCTGTAGTGTAGACATAGTCTTTGGCTTGTAATACAGGGCTGTAGGTGAGCTGCCTTCTCCACTGAGATTTTTCATACAAAAAAATCTTTGCCTGTTGTTCTGATCGCTGCCCAGAGAAGCTCAAAGGGAGGCATGAAGAGAAGTAGTATCACAGAGTGGTTAGAGCACTGGACTAGCCCACCCCCATGAGTCCTGGGCTCTATTCCTGGTTATGCCACTCACTTGCTGAGGGACCTTGGACAAGAACATCATCTTGTTGTGCCTCAGCTTACCAATCTGTAAAATGGAGATATCATGTATTATTTATGAAACTGCACTTAAACCAAGTCTTAAATGTTCATACAAAAAAGTCAGGTTTATCCATTATTAATACTCTCAACCTATCAAGCCTTTTAAACCTTCACACTCTACCCAATTACCCTACCTACTCAATCAATGCCTTCAAAAAGCCTTGGAAGTGAGTTAGGCTTTGCAATGCGTAACAAAGGTCAACCAGTTTGGCCTAGGTCAGAAGAGAGAATATTTCATAGTCTATGGACCTACACTAAAAATGCCAAGCTCCCCAACAAACAGCTCTTGGGACATTCAAGCTGTCATTCCCATTGGAGATCAACTGCTGGTTTAAAACATCAGGAGAGAGGCAGGTATCTGTAGCATACAGGACTTAAACCACAGTCGCTATGAGACAGCAAGCTAACTCCAGAACTACCCGCAGACACAAACTGGATACCATGAAGAAGTAGTTCGGGGAAAGCCTGGTTTAATCGGTTGGCCAGATGTACACAAGCGGCGGCTGCTGACTGAAAGGCTGCTAGAAGGCAATTAGAGCCCAATCCTGTGAGATGGGGAACATCTGCTGCACGGGACCATTTGTGTGCTCCCCGCTGCACTTCAGTGTTGTGGGGGAAGGGAAGCAGAGAATTCTCAGCCTCGTGCAGGAACAGACCCTACTTGATCTGCTTGTCATCACCTAATGCGTTGATCCTAACTAATTTTAACAGGAAGATGGAGGACACTTCGCATGCCCAATAATTAACTTTTCCAAAGATCATGGCAAAGGTCAGAGCAAGGGTCATCTGATTTCTTTCAAATGCTTGTCTCCCATGGAGAAATTAGGGGATTTGCCCTTCTGTGACTGGTTACAACTGGAAGTGAAGACACTTGGTGTGCTACAGGCAAATGAGGTCAGTGTTTTCCTTGTATTTCTTGCATGCACTAAAGGGACTGAGAGCATTGGAGCCATAGGAAAACACATTAATATCTGATGAGCTTCTGGCAGAATGCAAAATGCACCCGAGGAACAATTTTGTCAAAACATTCAAAATGCACAGACTTAGACATTAGGCACTGAGTAGCTGCCAACTATGTGGAGCGTGTGGGCTAGTGATCAAAGGACAGACCTGGGTATTGGGACTCCTGGGACTCTATTCTCAGTTCTGCTCTTGATTTCTTGTGTAATTAGTGAACACCTGGGGATGAAAAGTACTAGATAGAATTTCCTGTTTAAAGACATTTGGTGTTTGCAAGGAAAAGTAATTCTGTGAATAAATGCTACCAGCATTTAATAGACCAAATCTGAAAAGTCTACTGAAGTAACCTTTTTGCTTGTGTATCTTGTTTCCTCTTTTCCTCTCCTCTCACTAGATATATCTGCATGAAAATACGGTTTTTGTTTTATGGCTATTCATCTGCAGCTATTCATAATTCCCCAGTTATTCTTCTGCAAATAGCCACTATATGAATTACAATATTATTTACTTTCTTCAAAAAGCTTAAAGCTTTTTCATTCACGTGTATACAAGAACCACATTATTCACCACTGAAATGCAGCAACTTCTGGTATAAAATGAAGCTATTTAATTGTGCTCAACTCACAGTGCACAGTATTTTCAGACAGAAGGTGAAAAATAACTTTGAATCTAACTGAGATTGCAGAAAAAAATTAGTTGGAAAAAATATACTAATTTGCATTAAAACTGGTCTAGTACATTACAAGGATGATGTGCTACACTTGTAAAAATGCTATGGAAACAGATCCATGAAGGGACTTAGGATATGTCTACACTAGCCACCCTAGTTCCAACTAGGGTGGCTAATGTAGTCATTCAAACTTGCAAATGAAGCCCGGGATTTAAATATCCTGGGCTTCATTTGCATGTTCCTGGGCGCTACCATTTTTAAATGCCCGGTAGTTCGAACTCCCTGCCGGCGGCTACACGCAGTATGGGCTAGGTAGTTCGAATTAAAGATCCTAATTCGAACTACCATTACTCCTCCTGCAATGTGGAGCTGGGTCTCTCCTCGGCTCTGCCTGGAGCGGGCCCCGGATCCGGCACCCCCCCGCTGGTCTCCTGCGCATCCTCCCACCCTGCCCCCAAAGCATCCCCCTAGGCCCCAGATGTCCCTGCCGCGCGCAGCTCCTCCTCGCCGCCTGCCGCCCATGCGCGACGTTGCATGTGGGAGGGGAGGATGCCTGGGCGTGACGTGACGTCACGGCCTGGGGTTTTGAAACCCGCGGGAAGCACATTGCGGGGCCTGGCTGGTTCCGGGTTTGGCCTCTGGGGCCTGAGTGCGGACTCTGGCCCCGCAATGTGGAAGGAGAAGGTAGGGAACTGGCTCATGCGGCGGCGGAGGCGAGGAGAGGAGAGGAGAGGAGAGGAGAGGAGGGGGGGAAGGGGTGGAAGGAGAAGGGGCTTGGTCGGGGGAGGGAAAGGCACCAAGGGACAGGGGTGCAGGAGAGAGAGACAAATGCCAGGGGGCCAAGTTCAGACCATGACTGATGCTCGGAGAGGAGAGGAGAGGAGAGGGGAAGGGTACTGGGGGCTGGAGGGGGAGGGGATGGGGGCAGGAGGGGAATGGAGCAGAGACAGCTGAGGGTATTAGGGAAAAAGAGGGCAAAGGGAGGCACCAGGAGGGTGCAGAGCTAAGGGAAGGTGCAGGTACCAGGGGATTCTGGAGTGAGGAGGAGGGGAGAGCTGGCCACTGGAAGCAGAACTGGACGGGGGAATCAGGGCAGGCTGGGGAGATTGGGAGGCCGGTGGAAGCAGGGCTGCTGGGGAGTGCAAGGTTGGGGCAGGGAGCTGGCTGGGGAAGATGGGGGGGGGGAGATAAGCAGCCGCCGGAAGGAGGGCTGGACGCGGGCAGCTGGGCTGGGCCAGGGGG